GGCTTCTATAAAATCCATGTTTAGATACCTCAAATTATAATTAAACTAAGATAATTAGATATTAATTAAAAATTCAATTTTGATTATAATTTCACTATATATTCGTATTAAATCACGACAGCGGTCAAATTTGGTAGAATTAATGTATCTTTCATTGCCTTTTAATTTAGTAAGTTGGATGTGCATATCTTTAATTTTACCTTGCAATCTTAGGCACTATAACCAAATTTATGATATTTGTGGCACTAGATTTTTGAAAGATTAATTCAAGAGTGACTTGATCTACTTTTGTAGTTTAATTGCGTCCTAGAGCTTTGTCCATCAAAATCTTCATTATGGTAATTTGTATTTTACCTTCTGAAGTTTGTTCCATACTAATTCTTAGATATAACATATAAAACTTCTTCTACTTTTTATTAATCTTTTTTGATAGTCTTACTTATTTCTTCTTATAAGAATAAACTTTTAAGTTTGGAGGATATAAATTGATATTTTTTCCCCCTTTGAATATATTTGAAGATCAATCAAGAACTTAGAAGACTTGACAAGGTAAAATCTACCAAGTTTTTATTGATTAAAATTGCTACAAAACTTATTATCTAAATTACCAAGTTTTTGATCTGATGATGACAAGTTTTAATTGACATTCTTTTAGCTAATGAAAATGAAAAGAAACTTTCTTTTAAAGATGGTCATCATTAATTATTCTTGATATCATAGAATTTTTATAATTGTCATCAAATACTTTTCGGTTCTATAATGTATACGATATTGACAAAGATTTAATCAAACACTATAAATATTATGATTTATCTTACTCTAAAATATTTCGCTTTTGTATTTGAAGGAATTGTTGATAGAGCTTATCATGCAATGGTGCATATTCTTGTTATTGTTGTTGATTCAATTCTTATTTGGGAAATTCTAACACTAAAGATTCTTGAATTTGAGGCCCATTCTTCTACTTATATGTATTTATGTAGATCATCTTGTACTAAAATCATCTTAATTTTAATACTCCAAACTATATAAATGGAGTGTCTTTCCAAATTCATTAATTTAAATACATATCTAACTTCCAAATCTATATTTATAAATAATATTAATAAGTCAGACTATTTCTATTTTCCTAAGGACTACATCTAAATAATCTTATAATTAATATTAATCAAAGACTATGCCTCACAACTCACTCACTATTTTATTAAGTAAAAATTAATTTAAGAATGCTTTGAACATCTAATTTTGGAAGGATTTTAACTTGCCAGGAAGTTTAATTAATAATCCAAAAAAATACATATATTTATAAATATCTTATTGTAACCTTAAAAAACTTAAATAAATTTCTAATTAACTTTAGTACATCCTATCAACCTTAAAAATATCCAAGATATCTTGTTACATTATAATTAATTCCAAATAAACCTTAAAAAAACTTTAATATACTTCAATAAAATTCTAATGAAATCCTAATTAAATTCTAATCAAATTCTAAATTTTAAAAAAATATCTAAATTTTAAAAAAATATCTAAATTTTAAAAAAATATCTAAATTTTAAAAAAATATCTAAATTTTAAAAAAATATCTAAATTTTAAAGAAATTTTATTCAAATTTTAACCAAATCTTAATCAAATCCTAAATTCTTAATAAATTATCACCAAACCTTTATCAAATTCTAAGCAAACCTTTAACAAATTAAAATCTTAAAAATTAATAATTTAATTATTTATTTTGACAAAAAAAATTATCATTCTTCAATATCTTAATTGACAAGAAGCAAAATAAATTTAAAGATGATCAAACTTACTATATGAGTATTCAACTTCATAATTTCCTTGGATATCTGTCAACATCCCTTTTTAATATTAATGTTTATCTCCTAGTATCAATATCTCTCAATTTTATTATCCAATTGCTCTAAAATTTTTCAAAATTGTTAAAAATAAATTTTCTTTCTAGCATCAAAATCTATATTTTAAACCAATATGTGTATTTCTATTAATCTTAGAAACTCTCATTAATCTTCTGAATTCCAATTTCTAAGTTCCAAATTTACTTGAGTTTCAATAACCTTAAAATAAATCAATTGATTAAGCTCAAACTTAAAACACACATCTGAAATAAAATTTTTATTGAAAATTCACAAATTTTTACTTATAAATCTACTACCAATATTAGAAAAAGTTCTACAATATAAACTCTTTTTATTTTTCAAAAACTAGAATTGTTCCAAAAATATCCTTGAAAATAGACTTTACAAAGCTCTAATAAATTCATTGCAAATTCAAATCACTTAAAATTAACCTTTGAAGAATCTCTCTCCTATCTATCCTTAAATTCTATTCTTTTTTCAACAAAAAAAACTCTACATTTGCTATAAGTATGTAATGTTATGTCCTAGAATTTGGTTTGGATTCTAGTTCAAAATTGGTCTTCTTTGTATATCAATATAAGATTTTCTTAAGAAATTTTTACTAAAATCTATTCTTTATTATGACTTAAAGATTCTTATAATATTATTTTTACTAATTTATCTAATTATACCTTATTTATGGCCCTATAAAGTAAGTAAAAGTCTTTTTATAAAAAGGCAAAATTTGTACTATTTAATTTTATTACCTCTTTAATTATTATTTATATATTTAAGGTGATTTATTATAATATTTTGAAATAAGATATTTTATAATGTGAGCTTTTTTTTTTATTCATTAGTCATATTACAATAAAACATCATTCTATCCAACACTATGTGTGCTTTGATACCATATTACAATAAGCATAATAAATAGAATTAGATATGCATAATGTGCCATAATATATAATGAATTCAAAAGAAAAGATGATTATAATATCTAAAGGTCTAAGACAATTTTTTCATTCAAACAAAAGGGATGATGAATGTTTGTAATTTCATATATCATATTATTAACATGCTCACAATATTTTGGAATTATAGATGGTCACATATATAGTCTAGTATACTACATGGTTAAGTGATTTTGATGTATTCAAGATCTTGTAGGAAAAGATAAGAATATGTCTATGTCTATATTTTGAGAAGAAGTATGGAAGCACAGGATCAAAGACAAGAACTTTATCTATAGCTTAAAGATTTTTATGCTCATGAAATGTGCATTGTGTAATCCTTGCTAATTCTTCTATTGGTTTTAAGCTTTGATGTGGATTGTTTGAATGCAAATATGTTATAAACATCTTAAAAACAAATCAATCAACTCGATGTATATGGAATCATGTGAAGATCCTAGCAATGCCAATATTGCAATTCTTGTGGCTTTTGTATAGATGATGGATGCAATTCATAGGCTTTGCAAATAAATAGTCAACAAATGGTTGTTGAGCAATTGCCGAAGAAGTATGGGAAAGATCTTCTCTCATCTATCTCACTTGTTCTAATCAATGAATAAATGTGATAATAGAAATAAATATTATTTTTTTCACAATTACATTCTTTGAGACTTCATATCTATACTTATGATGGTATGGCTATTACTACTTCTTATGTCTTATTTAGATATTTTTTACAAAAAAAATTATTCTTAATTTTTAAGTTTACTCTTAATAAATTCAATTCTTGGATTTATTTTGAACTTATGGTAAAGAGAAAAACTATGGATTACCAAAAACATACAATTAGCTTTGAATTTATTATATAATTTAGCATAAAAGACCAAAATTTTATTTGAAGCTGATAGACTTGGTTATAGATTTCTTTTCATACATTAAATTCATTATAAAAATTTGGTTGTAGTAACAAATTAAGTCGTATTATATGTAATTGCAATCAATTTTTATATTTTAATATTTAGTTTTGAAATTTTTAAGAAAAAATTAAAATAAATAAATAAATAAATAAAGATATATGCATTACAACTTGTTTGATAAGTTTAAATTTAATATAATTTTTTAGTAATTTATTGGTGAAATTTGTAAAACAAATAACCACTTTTTATTATTAAGATGGTTACAATTTTTTATTTTTTGAATTTTAATTTTGTCATTGAAATCTATGGATTTTCATAAATTTGAGATGAATAAAGAATTTTGTATCTTTATAAGAAAATTTTACATTAAAATATTTAGTTATATTATATAAGTATATTTAGATATATTATTTAGTATATTTAGTATATTAATATCATATATTATTTTACTTGCTTGAATATCTTTAAAATCTTAGAAATTATTAGAATACTAATATACATATACAGCACTTAGTACTTTACTTATAACATTTTTAGCTATAATTAAAACATCAATATAGATTGCTCAATACTAAAATTAATAGAAGATATATATATATATATATATATATATATATATATATATATTTTAAACACGTATTAATTGGAAATAAAATTTAAATACTTATTACAAAAAAACACAAACTAATCTGAAATTTTTAAACATATATATATATATATATATATATGTATTTATTTATTTCTTAAGAAGATAAAACCATTGGTTTGATAAACAATAAAAGTTTAGCTCATTAGTGGTTGTTTCCACCATTTATTTTACAGAATTTTTTTTTAATTTTATTTTGACAGATAAAGAGAGTTTTCTGGACAAAACAAAGAGAAGATACTAAAAATTATTCAAGAATATTTTTAGTGTTTTAACGAATGTAAAATGTTGTTATTTCTCTGCCATGTGAACAATAATTGCACATATTCCTAGATAGTTGTAGCATTTCTATCAGAGAAAGTTTTCAAAAACACATTTCAAAAACCTTTTTTATAAACTCTACCTCAATTATATCCTTTTCTATTAGACTTCAAACCATGTTTTTTAAAATATATATGTGCAATTATTGGCTTTTCTGAAACCAAATAAATAAAATGAAAAATCACATGTGTAATCAACAACAATAGATAATGGAGAAATTGTTCTCCATGCCTCCATAAATATGTTTTTTCAAATATATCTACGACAGTAATTGATCATGTAAGAGTGTGGCCATGGTGACAACCTCGATTCGCAAAGCATTCTCCATGTTCACTAATGAAGAGCATCATTCAATCCAACAGTGTTGTTTCTCAAACTCTTACTTCTATTCATATACCTGCTGCTACGTAAATACATATCATAGATGTTCCTCTCCACCAACATTTACTTATAGTGTAACATCCCTTCGCCATGCCTCCGATACTGAGATGTCAAAATAACTTCAAACATTCCCTAAACGAATGGATTACTTGACCTGGACAAGAAAATCCAGCAATTCGTTTCTAGCAAGTCCTAAAATCACGTCCACTGCACAGAAAGAGCCTCTCAAAATCTTCGGAGTTTCGAAGACCTATTTTTGCACTACCTTACAAAGCACCAGAAACACCAGATTTTTCTGGAACATACTTTCTCAAGATATGGTACATTGTCAGGCTGATACACAGGGATTACTACGGCTAATTTGATGGGACGAAAACTGAGGTTTGTAGATTGTGCCCCTGTAAGTCCTATGTGTCAAACAACGTGCTCTAAGCTCACCACCTGAGTTGGACCTCACCATGTCTAAAATTACAAAACTGAAACAGCAAGTGCCCATGGCTACACAGTTTCTAGTACTGCCGTAGCAGCGTATGTAAAGATGTTTCATGCAATGGCCACATGCGTAATTTCGTGCCTCAGAACCAAACTGTTGCCGACATCAAAACTGGTGTGCAAGCTTTGAAGCATAACAAGTTCAGATCAAGTCGGCATCTGATGAAGACAATAATGGTACAACCACAAAGGGAACTGTACACCGACAATCTACTCAGGCGTAGTGCCGCTTCGGAGCTACAGACACAGCACCAGGCCTTGGTTCAGTAAATTTGTACCTGCAACTCATGCAATCGTATCAGCAGCCTGACCCTTCTCCAAACACTTTGCACAAACACACTAAAAGACATACCCAAAAAGTAGGAATCTCAATCTCATCAAAATCATTTGCTCCCGATGGAAAACATGAGCCTTGCATGCTCCTTCTCACAAAGAAAAGCACTCGGAAATTCGTGATTAATGAGCTCCGTGGTGCTGGGTTTAATGAAGATACCCATTACTGAGAAGGAAGTTCTTGACTGCCAATGGAAGAGAAGGACCACCCTTACTATGCCGCCCAACACCTGGAAATTGTGTTGCACAAAATAAATACCAATAAAAGAGAAAATAAAAATGAAAAAACGTCCATTTTTAGAATTGAAAAGATGCTGGGCTACCATATCATATGTAGGCAAAACAATCCGCAGAGATGCAACTATATTCCTGCCTGCAAACCCATCATCAACAACGGCGGACTTGCATTTCTTGCTCGCGTACTAATCGTAAACCCAGTTTAGGTCTGAGAAATAAAATACCTGTTATGACGGAGAGGTCACTTTTCACAACGGCCCGAGAAGCCGCTAAAGGTAACGACTGTTCATGCTTGCCGTTCATTAGTCCATTGACACCCAACCCTTCTCCTTTCACGTCTGAGAGCGAGTTTGGCACTCGCTGTGAGCTGTAAAGAAAACCTGGATTCTTTGCCAACTCTTCCTCGAGATACGCAAGCCGTTCTTGAAGAGCCATGACTGCTTCAGTTGCGTGTAAACCATGCAGATCAATCGTCCACACATTGAAAACCCCGTCTACACAAAGGAAAATAAATAAATAAATAAATAATCAAAGTCAAAAAACAACAATGCACTGAAAGCAAGTCGAAAATATCGCATTCTGTTTTTCGATTTTTTGTGGGACAAGACGCCACGAATGTGAACACTGCACAACAAACGAACATAAAGGTCTGCAAAGGTAGACTGACCCATACAATTCTTGTCACATGAACGACGATGAATATAAAAAGTTAGATAACGATCAACCATTGTTCTTCTACGCGGAGCACACATAGTCCTACATAAGTGTCAAAGATAACCTCAAACCATTTGCCCGGCAGCCATTGAGATCTTTCCCGAAGAAATTCGTCATAACGACGACAGAAATTTGGAGTGCCACAGACCTGCATTTCTAGAATAAAGTATCTCTTCCGCAGCTTGCGCGTGCAGTATTTCAGCGGTCTTCCAGTTTTCGTGAGCTTCACGAGAATACTGCTTTGCGAGAGCGTGATCCCCTGCCATGTACGCGTTGTAGGCAGCCCGAGCATTCTTCCCCCTAGCACTATGCCACGGTAAAAGAGTTCATGTCTCAGTGACGAACATGGGAGGACAGAATACGGTCTCAAAAAGAAGAGGAACAACTCCGTCAAAGCACCCCAGGAACGAAAACAAAAAAAACACGACCCGAATAGAAACCCCTCTCCCTTACCGACTCATCCGCAAAGCCTCTCTCCGATTCTTCAAATAAACATCATTCTTCTCGCACTCCACAGCGCCAGCAGAACGCAACCCATCACCAGCTACGTCAAATTTCCCTCCCGGCCCTTCAGGTGGAGGCGACGAGGGCTCCGCCATGGCATCCAACTGCCCACACGCGACATCCTCGTCGCCCCCGACGGCCTGCAACACGTCCCGCAGCAACCGATCATCCGCCCAGCCATACCGCTCCCGCAATCTAGCAACCGCGGCGTCTTCGCGATTCAAATTCGTCTCATTCCCTCTGCCCCTAGTCGGTAGACGACCCTTGCCGACCACACTCACAAATGGCGCCTGCAACACTGGTCGCCGTGAACCCCCAACACCCACAGTTGTTGGTTTGGAATCCCCCGCCCCCGCGCCTTGCAACGAGGGGAAGGGATCTTCGTCACGGGACGAGGAGCTGTTAAGCATCTGGCGCGTCAGTGACGACCATCCCTGGGGCTTCTCCATCCAAGTGCGACTGCAACGATAGATAACAACTGACTCCGAAACAACATCTGCGTGGACAAGGATGATCACTCGCATTCGTCTTCTTCTTCGGGACACGAGCTGGCTGATTAATCCTCCATCACGCCTCTTGATTTGCCGGCTCTTCCGAAAGTTGCCGAAATGCCCGCTGCCAGGCGTGGGATTCCTCACCAGTGGCACTTGGCGGCACCCTCGGCGTCAGCAACACTTCACCGTAAAGGCAACGTTTTTCCGTTCTCAGTTCCCTTCACGAACATTCTGCAGGAAGGAAGAAAGAAACGATGGAATGGACAAGCTTTCGGAAGAGTCGGTGAGAGTTTCTGAGGCCCACTTTAGTCTTTTCCTTCATCGACACTTTCAATTGGGTGTCGCGAAGAGTGACAAATTCAGAAGAAATAAAGCTTTGATTAAAGAATATATATTTTTTAAATCCTAAATAAAGAGTAAGGGTTTCTCTAAAGCTTTAAGTGCTCTGCAATGAAAATGTCTTAATTCAAAATTTTAATATGAAATAATATGAAATATTAACTAAATATGAATACTATCATTTGACTTATCCTTAATTTCTCTTTAGTTTTTTTCAACACAAATTAATAATAATTCATTAATATGTTTAGTGTAGTTGAAGTTTAAAGATGATAAATTATAAGCTAGATAGAATACCTTAATAAAAGATGCAATTTATGTCTTGACTTGACATTTAATACATATTTTAAAGAAGAAGAAACAAATGTTAAAAGAAATCAAGTCATGATCATTAATCAAAGAAATTGCTAGCTGGACACTCTCTTTTATTATGTTGATGCACTCTTTTTATCATGTGGACACTTCTCTTATAGTTATCTACATTCAAGATGTAAATCTCCTAACTTCTTCTTGTGCATTGCAACCATTGCCAACCATGTTGTCTGCTTGGTCTTATTTGAACAGCCACTTTTACATACTAATAACCAACATCCTTGTCATGATTCTAATTGTCTTCTAATTCATTATGCACTGAATAAAGAATGCAACATGAAGAAGACACACCATGGGTGAAATTTGTATTGCAACATTATTGTCATTTTGGTTCTTAATATTGTTGATGTTTGTCACCTATAAAAAAAGACTTCACAAGATGCAAATGTAAATGCAAGTTGAGAGACTTGTCCTTGATTAGCTTGTGGACTAGATGATGTGATTCACAAGAGATCCACCCTTTTGTACATGACCTCAATTGAATAAAGATTGGATCATGTCCAATACTTGACAAATTAGAAAACTATGTGGTTTCATATAAGGGTGTTTGGCTCTTCCTATTTCTTTCACATAGTTGTGACCTTGAATGATTGTTGTGATTGAGTTGATGATTTCTAAGAGCTTGTTGGAAATAACATGATTGTGTTTTTTCCAAGTCAATTGGTCACATGACACATGATCTTTTGAACATTAGTATATTGATCCAATCCTTAGGTGCAATAATTTGGTGAGATTTATTCATTTTCTAAATTAAAAAATTAAAGAAAAAAAAAAAACAAACCAAACCACACCAAGATTAAAATTAATGTAAAAACAATAAACAAGTCTCTAAACTCACCACTATTGAACAGCATTGAACTGGATACCAGAGACTTAGATATTTTAATGAGGAATAAGAAAAAGCAACTCTACAATTTTTATTCCATTCTAGTCTTAGAAAGTTCTTTTAAATTTTTAAATTTCAAAACCTAATCTTCTATATTCATAATTATATACATATATATATATATATATATATAAGAGATTCCTTCGATAATTGAGAAGCAAGCATAAAAAGATAGCCAGCGCAAATACTACCATTCGCATTTTATAGGTGAGCTTAGAACAAATGTTTTTAATAGACCTGGGTGGATAAAAATGTAAGTCTTTATATATACATGAGACGTGAATGCCTTTCAATTTTATACTATTCTAAATTGGAACAGTTCACAAAGCGTGCACTGCTGTGCTACCTCATTCATGCCTGTTCAATCGCTGATGAGACAACAACATTGTGAAGTGTTAAGTGTGGCATAAAAAATTACTTACAATTTGATAGATTGCTGTGGCTATTGAGATTCCTCCTTAGCTGCAATCTCAGCATACATCTCAGCAATGGCCCTTGCGAAGTGAGCCTTAGCTAGTGGCCTCTTCACCTGCGCACTCTCAAAATTCACCAAAATCACTACCCTCCACTTGTTTCTTCTGAGTTATACAAGAAATAACTAGGTGTAAAGAAGGAAAACTAAAGCAATTCTTCAAGAAGCTTATTCCTGACACAGAATAAGTAAGATTTACCTTGAGTGTGGGTGTAAGCAGTCCATTTTCGACTGTGAAAGGCTCGACTTTCAATGTTACAGCTTTGGCAAATTCAAACTTCCGCAACTGCAAATAGAAATCAGTGAATCAGCAACAGTCAGAAAGCCAAGTAGTAGTGCAGAACCCAGCAGCAACGCAATGAACAAGAGCAATGACACTAAGAGAAATGAATCACTGTTTTGTAACAACTTATCATTATTAGTACTATATAATATGGTACAAATTATTAAGATCAAACCTTTGCTTCGCGACCAACAGCATCCATATCCGCAAGCACAGCTGCTCGAACAACGGGATCATCACAGAGCTGCTTCAAATCATCTGCATGCTGCTTCCCACCAACAATAAAAATTTATCATCAATGTCAGGCTAATCAATGATCATTGCTGTTCCTTGGCAATTCAAAAATTCTTTAGCTTACTCTGTTTCACTTCCAAACACCGACCACGTTTGTGTCTGAATTGCAACACAGAGACAGCGCCTTGATTCTGCATTTGGCGCCATACATTTTATGAATATTGATTGCTCTTGGAGATGAACACGAAAGTCGATGAAATACTTGCCTCTATACCCCTCGAATTCGCCCAGGCAGGTAAGTTCTCTGGATCAATAACAGCAACAGCTACAAGATTCGCGTTGAAACTATCACCTGTATAAATTTATCAACTAGTTACACCAATAAAGAAGGAGTAGCAATATAAACACTCAAGGTAGAATAATATTGATAAAAATTCAAGTTTAAACCTCAGCTTGAAAAGAAAAAAGAGGAGCTCTTAAAGCACCCACAACCCCAGTAACCATGGTGTTTCAACCACAAGCAGATGACTGAGACAATGAGAAGGGATGCCTCCATTAATTGAATGAACGCACCATGAATAAAGCACTGTGCAATGAACCGACTTCGCAGGTAGACGTTCTCAATCTTCTCGGGCGCAATGTACTCTCCCTGAGCCAACTTGAAGATATTCTTCTTTCTGCAATAACCAAGGAAAGAACGTACAACTCATGAAAGCTCCTGAAATATTCAAAGTTGGATTGATCTTCGAACATTAGAAGAGTAGAACATACTCAACTGGGTACACTGATCTAGACTACCAGACGTTGAATGATGAAAAATATCAATAGCATACATCTAAGGGTGACGCTAGTCCAGAGTACCTATCAATGATTTTGAGTCGACCACCTGGCAACCAACACCCGATGTCGCCAGTATGTAGCCATCCATCTTCATCAAAAATCTCCCGTCTGCAATGAAAAATAGATGTGAAAGTCAGCTTCCATTTGAAACGTACTGGGTAGAAATTTTACAGCCCAAGTGATTGCTCTATTATCTTTCACACTTAAAATGAAAAAAGGCATTTGCGATTGGGTATAGCCAAGTATAGAAAGATATGTGGAAAGAGAACACGAGTGATACGTTTGAACTTCATCTTTGTAGTAGCCTTTGAAGAGGGTAGGGCCTCGAACACAGATCTCCCCTCGCGGGTAAGGCTTGTCGTAATTTGTATATTCCATCTCCGGAACGTCAGCGAGCTTCACCTCTAATAGACGAGGCAACAGAACCCAATCAATACCAAAACCAAACATATAAAAATTTGCGGTACATGTTACTTACTAAAATATTAGAGGATTGGTACCTTACTACAACCAACTAGAATTGAAACGAAACCACTTATGTGAAATTTACCACAAGATGGGCTTGGTGATCCAACGTGACCATATAAGTAATCCCCAGGTTGAGTGCCAGTAATAAGACATGAAGTCTCCGTCATTCCATAGCCCTCAGAAACAAAACCGCCGAAACATCTGCAACCAAGAAATGCAGGTAGCTATTATCAATCAAAGGAGCAGCCGCACCACTCTTCCGTATAGCACACAATTCTGTGATATTGCAAGCATATCAACGTGGAAATAGGTTTCATGGATTCAGAAAATTTATATAACAGTGAGAGCCCATAGAACTAAGTTAAAGCACTGGAATACGCTCACATTCTTAAGAACTCTAGTATGTCTGGGGATATTGGTGATGCGCCTGATAATATTATACGAACCCGCCCCCCAAGAGCTGCCTTCACTTTGCTAAAAACTAACCGATCCCAGATTGGTGAGGGAGATTTTCCTGCAAGATGTCAAGGGAATTATTCAAACAGTCAGCAAAGATGTGAGCATATGGTTCCCAATTTATTTGATGTAATACGAAAACTACCATGAATTACACTGAGGTTTTAGAAACTCACCTTTCTCGAGTGCATGTTTCTTTGCATTGTAGGCAGCGTTGAATAGCTTCTCACGAAGCCCACCCGAAGCCTTTATTGTACCAGTGATTCTGTTCCATAAATAACATTAATTGTGAAACAGAAAATCACATAAATAAATGTGGACATGCATCACCGTCTCCCTCCTAAGAGTAATTCTTGTTAATAAACTAATATTTTAATAGTAGCGCACCCATACACACTGATCAACACTCATAAATCAGGACCATTCGTTCTGGAAAACATTGCGACTATCAAACATCACCTTCAAAAGCATAGAGACTAAAAAGGTGAATTATACAACAAAGTTATCTAAGATTCACTTACTTGTCATAAATACGATTGTACAGCCATGGTGTACTGGCTAATATTGTGGGCTTCAGCGTCTCCATATCATCCATCAACTTCAAAATATCCTGTAGGATACTCTCAAAACGTTTAGGTGTCACGGCGCAGCTGGCAAGTTACTGTGCGAGACACAGTCGTATTGCAAATTATGTGATCGTCACTACGAACAAAAATTCTTGACATATTCAACTATACAATCACATTGTAATTCTGCAAAACTAGGCATCTATATACAGCCACTTGCCTCATCTTTGGACTCGAGAGCGAGGTTAGAGGTTACTAACAAGTATCGAGGTCAAAGCAAAGACGTGAACCTTTAAAAGGCACGTAGCTGTAAAAATATCAAACATCAAGCATACTTTACGAAACTTAAGAAGCCGGCATAACTATGTTTTCTGAGGGAAAAAGTATTTTAATAAAGTTTGAAAAGAATAATAACTGCAACTTACTCCTTGATAAAACCCAATTGCCACACCATGATGCAGCATGATGAGAACGTTCATTCTCTCGTAAATATGGGCAAGTGGCAAGTAAGAGATGTGCCTATTGGCAAAGCCAAAGAAAACAGTAAAAAAGTCAGACCAATGCAAAGCATCGCAACTGCAAGAATAAAACGGCAAAAGTACACATAAGTTGGAAGGTGATCTTATCAACTTACACGTCAGAAGGATAGAAGAGCGTAATTTGACTACTCCCAGCAGCACTTGCAATAAGATTGTAATGAGATATCATTGCTCCCTATTTTCAAGGTACTAATATTAATCCAATATGCTTTTTCGTACCAAGGCATAAACTAGACCGCATGAAATTTACGAATACCGACACCTGCCTTTATAAAAAGCTCCACAGACAACAGTATTTTAACATTAAAAACTGAACATAAAGTATTCCCAACTAGGAGGCTTGAAGTGATTATCCTGTGGTTTTTTGTATGCAAAAATGAGGCCCCATGTTTTGAAATATTCATCACGTCCACTAGTTGCTTAGCAGAAATCCACTTCATATTAAGCACAGATGCAATCCATGTGTCAGACATTCATCCAAGATTTATCAAAACTTCAATCTCTATTGGAGAAGGACTAAACTGTTCGAGTCCAGAGCTTTAGTCCATATACCTTAGGAACGCCAGTTGTACCACTTGTGTAACATATAGTAGCTAAATCATGCGGCTTCGATGCCACAAATTCTCGGTGATCTGCTATACCCTGTTGAGTCCACAAAATATCAAACTTTAGTGACTCAATTGGACGATGTATTGCAAAGGTTTGAGTGGCACACAACTGACGGGCACTCTAAAGATTGCATCCAATATTACCTGAGCTTTAAGTTGAGAATAAGTCACGACTTCAATCCCCAACTGGGGTGGGAGTGAAGGCAATAATTTCTCAGCTCCTCCCACTACCTACAATTGCACTACATTCATCAGTAGCAAAAATGAAATCAAAGCAAGGGACCACAAAGGACACCTTTTTCACATCCCTGGAGAAGATAAGATTATTTGACCCAGGTTACCATGGTCAGAGAGAAAATTACACCAAGGATCTGTTCGACCACTAAATCTAGATAGCGGAAACTGAATAGCACTAATTCCGAATTCTCTACTGCCAGCTGACTATAGCGGACCATCCCATCAACATTGGAATATGCCAATTATGCACATTTGTGCTGAATGAAAAGAGAATCCCGGGCAGCAAAAAGAGCAATAAACAGAATTGTAGTGGTGTCTACCACAATAAGCCGTAAACTTGGGAGCCCTGCAATGTAACTCAATAGCTGCTCCAACCCATCCAAGTAAAATATGTCAGAAGTTTTCAATCACAGCCAACCCCTATGACTTCTTTGACCAATTGCACCAATTGAAGTATGAAGATGAGAAGTGGATGCAGTAGCAACTACTCACATTTTGTATTTTGTCTAGAGTACAAAACACAGCAGCGATTTCCGCATGGTTAACGATATACGTAACAGCATCAGTCCCTGCGAATGACTTTCATAAAAAGTTCATGTGCCATACTGTCTCGGTAGTTCAGAGAATACTACCATTGTCAGCACGGTCTCACATCTTCCAAAAAAGACTTACATTCACTCTTTAACTGGTCCAGATGTGAAAGTATGATTTACAACAACATCAAGGCACATGCGCATCTACATGACATATTTTATCTTCATATTTTGAGAGAAATTGCAACTTACCAAGGGTGTCATACAGTGGAACAGAAACATAAGAATAAGCTGCACATGCTAGTTCTGAGATGACCCATTCCACTCGATTGATCATATATATTCCTATACGTGAGCCCTGCGCATCCCAAATTTAACATTTCTGAGCCAGAAAAAACATTTTCAAGGACAGCACAGAGCTTGGTAATTGTATGAGACAATTCCAATCAGTTTCTACAGCCTTTGAAAGCCGGGCATATGGATAAAAGGCAACAGAAGTGCAATTGTGCAAAGTATTCTAACAGTTAATTCCATCATTTTGAGGCCTTTCAAAATTTTAAGGTGCTTACCTTAGGGATGCCATGTTGAACAAGACCTGATCCAATTGCAGTCCGTGCGTTCCCTACCTCGCCGTAAGTCATCCATCTATAACTGCAGACAATGGGGACATACATTAATATATCCAATACTTGAGAACCAAAGCTTTTTTTGAATCACATCACGCGATCAAGGTACCCAAACCCCGACTGAGTTCATGGTCAAGCCAATTGACAGCTTATAGAGCTCCTGAATGCAAAGATTCGTCACTTCGACACAGTCCTCAAAGAAACGGATGCAAGTTAAGTGACGCAAAAAGCAGAAAAAAAAAGAGGCGACTTACTGGCCAACTGTATCATCATCTTGGATACGAGTTCCCAAACATTTGTTCTCTGCAAAGGCAGCCTTAGCGTACCTTCAGGTGGATCCAAGCAAGCAAGGTATTGTAAGAAAGCATAATACATTAAGCATAATACAAACTTATTCTCAAGCTGTACCACAGAACATAATCATGCTCCAAACGATTTCAAAGAGAGATTCTACAGGTAGCGATGTAGAAATCAGCACAGCAGAATATCATCAATGTTTTAAGATATCGTTTGAAGCAAGAAAACACAGATGCCTTACATAAAGTTGTCGTGCAACGTTCGAATCTCTGGGTGTTCAGGCCAACGATCCTTAAGGTTAAGGGGAGACAGCGCTGATCTACAATAAGTCAGACCACAGAGTCATATAGCAAATATGTTCAACAAATTGATAGTGTAGCTAAATCAGAACAGGCTCCTCGTCGAAATACACACATAAAGAGAGCAAAAGAAGCGCGTTCATGAACCAGAATACCTATGAACGTTCCATTTCCCAGTGCTCAACTTTTCCGGTAGTTTAACGCTAAATCCTTCATCTGTGCAGTCCCACAGACAGTAAAGGATGTAAAATGAGATCCAATAGCTGAAACAACAGCCAGAAGCTCACTTCAACTTGCCGTTAAGATCAAGTCGGCATCTGAGCCAGCGTAGAGAATGCAGGAGGAACCGGAATTATATGTAAAAAGCTGTAACGTCTTCGCGACAGCATGAAACATTTACACCTAACGACGTGCCTCCAGAAACCTAAAGGATGGCTTAAGCAGTAATCACCACTAAATTAGCATACCCATGATGCATTCGCCAATTGTTGGTTGACTCACTGGTTGTAAATACTCCTCTGCACAGAAGAAAGTTACAAGATTACAATGGATAAATACTGTGTTACTTTGACTAATTTAATAAATGCTGTGATATTTTTTTACTGTGATATTAGCTCAAATAAAAGCAGAGTAAAAGTAAAACAATGCTATTAAGTCCTCCGTTCGTGTACAAAAGATACAGAAAATCCAATATCGTAATTAGTACCAAGACGTCATATTACCGTTCAAAAAGAAAGACAACAAGTGCATCTTCTTGAAGGTTGCAGCACACACTATAGGAAAGAGAATGACGGGTTTAAAGTACACTCCTGGTATCGTGTGTTAAGTAATTCTCATACCCGAGGCCCTCATCTGTAAATGTGCGTTTATGAAACTTAACCGCCTGTCTTTTGTGGTCTCCACGACCACGGGATATGCCTTCATCTCCCATTCCTCTGTTGGCTTCTTAGTGTCGCAGTCTCTAAACTGGACAACAATACAACCCACATGACCCACGAAACTCAATTAATGACTCGAATTAGCGTATGCAACAGCCACTATTGAAACTCGAGGTCTATGTCGACACTGAGCTGCACTTTGTTGATTTACGAGACAGTGTCATGGTTGAAGTACAAAACCTGGTCGATTTTAAAAGACTTCCTTAAATTCCAAAAGCAGCTACAAGCACATCACAGTGAGCTGACAATTTACCATGCGAGCGATGGCGGATCGAAAATTGCACATAAATTATCAACAACTAATCTAAAATGATATCAAAGTTTCATCAAGCATTGAAAGACATCGGCAAATTGCCAAAATTAGCAACGATAGAACTCTCTGACGCGGGTTGAATTCCTTCAGGATCAAAGCACACATAAAGCCAGCAGAAGTTTAGCTATCCATACACCTTGAGAGTGTATGGATAGCTTGACAATCACCTAAAACCCAGACGAAATCATCATGCACAATCATCTCTTCAGATTCGATATAAAAGTGACATCCACAGGCACATGACTTCGTCATAAGATTTGGCAAGCGCCTCTCTAACTCAAACAAAAAGTATGGCTCAGAGTAGATAAGACCTTGACGGGATTGAAGAGATTAGAGCTTCAACTTTACAGGAAAGTATACTGAACGATGGAGAAGTTCAATGCGCGGAATCCAATGTACAATACAAAACCGGATGACGGTGTAAGAAATAAGACATCAAATACTTGCATAGACCTACTGCGTTTCAAGTGTCACACCTATTCCGAAAAAAAAAGGAGTGGCAAGACTGCTAGCCAAGGGCATTACTGACGTGTTGATTATGAAAAATGACGGCGAATTTCGGATGGAAAGGTTCTATTGCTTTTAATTGGGATGAAAGCTAGTGAGGCAGGTACAACGGTTTTCAGCAAAGCAATGAAGAGTGCTCCTACTTTTCAAGCTACATAGCATGCTGAAACAGATCCTACCAGTCTATCGTTTGATACAAACCAGGTGCAGTGAGTAGATCGTTTTCTTCTATTTCACTCAGCATCTAATTTGTTGTTTCTTGTGGCCCTAAATCACACCAAGTTTTGTAAGTTTCATGAGGCGAACAGTTCCTCTTGAACCGATTACCGCGACGAGTTCTAACAAAGGTCCCTTGCTCCACACCAGAAGCGATTTAAGACAATAATAGGAAAAGAAGTACAGAAGATAAAGAATTAATGTGCATGATATGTAGTGGAGAATTCAAACGATTGAGGAACTTTCAATCAACAGACTGGAAAATTTGGAAGTCAAGTCATCCTCCACTAACCAAGACAATTACTGTCCTGTACTATAAATTCTCATGGAACGACTCATCACACGGATCGCCAAGCATAAGATCATATATCAAAACACGATTACGACTGCTACTGAAAACGATCAAAGAACAATACCGAAACACGGCAGGAAGTCATGACTAACACAGTGCCGCTAGTACTCCTGTGAACAAAAGCGTCCCAAGCTCAGATAGCTCGATCACCCAACCTCAAAACCGAGCACACAACAACGTCAATGTACAACCAAAAATTTATGAAATTGGCAAGATTTTGCCTAACGAAAAGCACATAGGAGCTCTAAACCTCTCAGTCAAGCACCTAAACTCACTTGTACACTTTTTCGTCCCCTGAACTTAATAGGATTCAGCTCAATTGACCAGACAGAGCATGTCAAATCCTATGACACTACAATTGATCATTTGAAACGATTTTCAAGCCGGATTGCGAGCAGATGCCGATAGAAACGGTGGTGGAAACCTGATAACTCAGCAAAAAGAGCGATTTATAGTCTTTTCTATTTCTCTCTAATGGTATCCTGAGGAGTGAAGTCTACAGGAGGCGGAAAAACAGGTGGGGAGGTGACTAAAGATAAAATTTCGGTGAAGATACTTGCGTTCAGTGGGAGTACAGGCGAGGTTAAGATGCAGAACCCATCCGGAGAGTGTGGCGTGCGACACTCATCACTGGCTTTTTATTACCTGGCATTGTGCTAATCGAATAATTACACGCTGACCCATGCACCCACAAAAATAGTTTCCTTTAGCGAAGAAGCGTGACTTCCTGTGACGGTCATGAAGAAGAAATGGGTGGGATTTTTCTTGCCTGGGTAGGCCGCGAGTGGAGACCCAACACACTGGGGTGCCGGTACATTCACCCACATCGCAAAAGCTGAGATCAGGTTTGCCAGATGCGAGTGAGCGCGAGTTAAATGCCGCTGGCATGCGAAGTTTTGACCTAATTTTACCGCAAGGTGGAATCCACTTGGAAGATCAAATATCTGTGCAAACTGTTCGTAAGCAATTGCTCCTCACGTACCCATGTAATGCTCATAATCACGACAAACCCTGTTGGCTTTGTGTGAGGACGACCCACCTTGGAAGATGCTTCTGTCGAAAAATTCGGAGGACGCCACCACTAATGGAAAACAAACATGCAAGAATATAAATGTTGTGTAATTTTGTCAAATAAATTGGACCGTATTCTATGTGGTGGTGAAGATGGTGCTTTAGTGATTTTGAAAGCAAAATTGGAAGAAGTATCGAGTTGGTTTTTATTCTTAAGCATTACTACCTCTCAAAGTTATATTTGTTTTGTGGATGAATGTTGTTTTGTAAATTGATTGGAAGCAATTGTATTGTTATCTACCCAGTGCTTCCAAAACTCTTCTTTTTAATATCTTTTAGAAAGGAAAAGGCACTTTGAGCCCTTGACAATAAAGAGGATGGAAGAAGTACAACACAAGGAAGATAGGAGGAAGTCTAAGACCCACCTCGAGACAAAGAAGAAAGGATTTAGATCAGCCAACAAGAGACCTTGGATGTGTATATAGACATAATGGGTATGTATATAGCAACTTAAAAAGTGCTTGTAGTTTGATTCTTTAATATATTTGTGAAAGTTACAATAAGACAATCATTTTAAGAATATATATATTTTTTAAATGTCAACATCCAATTAAAGCACTATAGATTCATTTAAATATAATATCAAAAAAGTATAGTTATTTTAATATCATTTTATGAATGAAAATATTTGCATTAAAATTGTCAATCAAATGGTTTGATGGGTTTGATTATTGGCAAGTGGGCCTAATGCAACATCTTGTACACCAAACCAATATTTGGTCATATTTGTGAGCCATGTTAATCATGTTATAAGCAACTTAAATATATTAACCACGTAACTAACAACTTAGAATTTCAAAATTTGTAGACTATGGGATTTTTTTTTTAAAGTCTTTGTGGTAGTTGCAATTATAACAATTGTTGTGAATGACATGAAAATTGTATCTTGCCTACCATAGATGCCTACTTTATTAGTTTATTATGGCCAAAAAATTGATTCAAATTGTATATTGTACTTTTCTTCAATAATAATATTTGATCTTGTATGAGAGAAAAATATTCTCTTTTTTTTTTCATAGCATTTTTTGAAAAGTTGTTGCTAGATTAGTTGATAGTATTCCTTCAATTGATAAAATTTAAAAAGTTTAGTTAAAATCTATATAAATGAATCAAGTAACTTTTGCAATTAATTGTTAAGTAGATAGAAAGAGTGTTAGTGCAATGGGTGATAATAGTAATATTTTTAATCTAAAATTTGTGCCAATAAGATTTATAGCATGATAATATAGTAAATAGATTTAACAAGGTTGTGCTAGTAAAAAAAATTATGATAAGTAGTAGTAGCACCACAGCAAAAGTAGGATAGAAAGTAGTGCTCATGAAAGTTTTAGGTTTTAAAAACACCATTAGAAAGACATTAATTCTCTCTCTTTTTGGAGTTTGGATGTTTGGCAGTCCCTATTGTAGCACTCGATGCACCATTGATTTCATCAAGTTCCACAAATATTCTATATATGCAAAAATGTAAAATATTTTGTTTAAGTAATAAAAGAAGCTTCATTCCCTCAAGCTTGGTGTAACCTTGGTATTTTGGTATTATTGTAAAAGTGCTTTGTATTGGTCAAAGTCAATGTATATATTCACAAATGTTGCAATTAGCCATTGTAACTGTCCCATTGTGCAATGATGAAATTTTGACCATCACAACTTGAGGGCAAACAAAGAGCCAATTTGGTTATTTTTCTTTTATCTCATAATTGATTATAGTTCTTTGACTCCAAAATTTAATACATTAATGTCATCAAGTAAAGTTTTTGTTTCTTACTCATTATCAATCTTTAGTAGAATAAAAAAGAAATTTTAATACATAATTACAATCTCCAAAAATTATTTATTCTATTTATTAATAGACATCTTTTTTACAAAAAAAGTTATAGAATTTTAGTATGCTATAAAATATAAATATTTCTAAATTTTTGTGTTTTATTTTATGTTAATATTTATTTTAATAATATCAAATATAGAAATTTTAAATAAAGATGAAATAAAGATAGGTAGTGTTCCACATAACATAAAACATAAAAATATAATGCAACATTATAAATTGATACACTATTGCACTTTACATATAACAATTATAAATATTGGTAAGCTTTGATCTACAATTTATTACATTGCACATACAAAGATTCTTAACAATAATAAATTTTCATACACAAAAAGTTTTACTTTTCATTAATTTAGTACTATGCATTGTAATGTATGAATTGCTTCATTTTAGAAACAAAAATTAATATGTAATGCAATGGATTTTAAAAATTATAACAAAAATATTTTGGTGAGATCAAGAAAACAAAATCCAATACATGATATAATATTAGAATATTCCAAATAAAATTAAAAATCTAGAAATATAATATTGTATGACTACAAAGTACCAAAGTGATTATAATAGTATTTTTTTGTAATCCATGTTAGACATCCATAATCAAACAACCAGACCATATAATATAAACAAATAATTTATAATATATACATTGCTAAAATTTTTGATAGTAGTAGTTGACAATAATTATCATAGATAGTTTTTATAAAATATATAATATTTTACCATATATCAAAAAACTTTTTTTTTGTTTAATAAATTATAGAACCAACCATAATCATGAAAAATACAAGATGTTATACTTAATAATATAAATAAATAAATTTATTCTACAAAAATCTTAGACTAATGATTGAACATATCCTTCTATATCTATACACAATAACAATATTAGAAATGCATCTAATTTTAATTGAGCAATAAAAAATGTGAAAGTAATATATATTATTTGATTTTTATAATTAGCAATATGTGGCAAAAATTAGCAAGAATCCATCATTGAAGCATCAGATTATACAAATAAATTAGATAAATTTAATATTATATTAAAAATTGAATACATTAATACTAAAGAATCTTTTCTTTCACATGCCTCATTATTCCTTAATACTAATATTTTTAATATAATAACATGTTTGAAAAATATTTAACATATTTAAACCAATTATTATAAAAGAAATACTATGAGATTTATAAAGAAAATATGGTACTAGATACACAAACTTAAGAAACAAGAAAATACATTACATTCTACTTATTCAATTAATAAAAAAAATATATATATAGCACATAAAACTATACAATTTAAAAGAAAATGTCTCAATATATAAAAAGTAGCATATTAGATAATATAAAAATAATATAAAATAAAATTAGTAGAGCTATCTTTTATAATTTCAAAGCTATTCATTTCGCCATGCATGAAATTGCAAAGATTTATTGATTAATGTAAGTCTAAGTCAATTATAATGTTGATTACAACTTTGAAATTAAATTGGTAGTGCATACCAAAAATATATATAGTGAAAAGAGAATTTTTTTATTGAATGTCTCAATAAAATTAGATGTTTATGAATTTTAAAAAAAAAGTTTTTAAATTTTCTTTGCAATTTTATTAGTATTTTGTTTTATAAATTAATTATATTTTACCAATTTTATAAAATTTGATGACATTGGAATATATTTTTTAAATGAATATAAAAATATTACTTTAAAAAAACACGTTTTTGTGTTATTTGATTGCAATGTAATCAAAATTTTGTATTATAAGTTAATAATATTATAGCTTTTATATTATAAATTAATGAAATTAATATACATGCTAGAATAAATTATGGTATAATTACAAAATGCAAACAAAAAAATACTAATATATATATTGATTATGTTACAAAGTTGAATTTCAACTTATTTTTATAGTAGATTTAACATTTTATTTTATAAGTAGATTACGTTGTAATTTTTGAATTATGGTTTTATTATATCAATGCACATGCTTCAAAAGATTGAAGAATATTAGAATTAAAACTAAATAATATCAATTAGTTAATAATGGTTTTCATATGTTTAATGTCAACTTCTTTAAGTATATAATAGAACAAAGTTGCAAATATTGAAAGATACTCACAACAATTATTTGTTGCACTGTTTTACTATCATGCTTTAAAGTCATTATATTTAAATCCAAGAATAATATATATATATATATATATATATATATATATACAAGATAATATGGTCACTTGTAGAAACATCTACAAAAACAACATTGATGATACAACACTATTCATTATACTATATACACCAAAAATTCCTAATTGGCTCAAAAATCAAGTAAGTTAACTTAAATGTATACATTTTTAGAAATAGAAATTACACAAAATATGTAGCAACTAATTTGGCTGTACGAAATTGCAAAAGCGTTATATAGGACTATATAGTTATGTATGCGACTTGCTATCAAAAACAAAATATACTCATATCTAATTAAATTAAAAACTACTACTATGATTTATCTAATCTAATTTTTTTATATATAATTTATAAAAAGAATAAAGAAGATAGTAACTTTAAGTAGAATTCATGCACTTAAAATCTATTCTTGAAAATTTTAATAAATATTCTTCTAAAATTATAAAATATCTTTTTTATATCCCACTAGCAAGTTATATTCTCAAGTGATTTTTGTATTGGCTCTATTCTATTAGCTTTTCAATTCTTTGTAAAAACATTTTGATCCATCTTCTTCCTTGACTTCCACTAATGTGTCTTTACTTGGACTAATTTTTATCATTATTAGGCTACCAAGATAAGTAGGCACATGCAAATATTTTAGACTTATATAGGTTTTTGAACAAGATTAATATTTCTTGTAAATATTCATCCTTTTTAGTTCTAATTTGGAAATAGTTTCTTAGTAGCTTGATCTTTGTGTAGTAAATAATAAATTAAGTCTCCAATGATAGAGTAAAACATTAAGATCGACAAAAAAAAAATATTGGATTAGATAAAGTGTGATTTGATAGAAGTGGTGAATTCTACAAAGTAGTGAAGTAGTAAAGTAGTATTTTATATAGTAAAAGAAGACAATGAGATTGTTAATTTTTATCTTAAAATAAGTATGTGAAAGGGCTATAAACATAAGAATAGTGCACATGATATTTGGCAATGTGGTATAAAGAAGCATAATTAAATTATGTATTTTTTATTTGAACTTGAAATGAGTCTTGTGGTTATGAAATAAGAGACTTGTGTGGAAGGAAGTGAGTTTTTATCAACACTAAATTTACAAAAAAATTATAGTTAACATTACATTTAAAATTAAATAAAAAATAAAAGTTCAAATATAAGTTCTATATTATTTTAAAATATTCAATATTCTTTTTTATATTTTTATAATAATATAATATTTTTATAAGTTTTATATTAGGATCTTAGGAATTACAATTTGTCAATAAAATTCCTCTAAAATAGCAAGATGGTAGATGATTTTAGTCCCAAAAAGAGTACACATAAAAATAAGATCAAGACTATCTATAATTTTATCAAATCTTCTTATATATCTATTTTTTTTAAAGGATTTTAGGTCTTGTTTATCTTTCTAAAAATATTTTTATTATGTAATATATGAATTTGATTATTACCTAATTAATTTTTAAAATTCTTTGTTTACATATTTTATTTCAATTCAAATATTTATTTCTTCTTCTTTTTTTTAATATATGCAAGTAGTCTATAAGTAGCTTTAATATAAAATAAAGTTACATTTTCAAAAAGTTACATTGATAAAATAAAAAATAAAAAATAAAAAAATAGAATTCAAATTAGAATAATATCTTAAGTTAAGTATTAAAATTTTAAATGTATAAGCACTTATATATGGTACGAAATGATTAAAAAATTAATATTAGGATTTTTAAAGTATTATAAATAAAATAATAATAGTTTTATAATTATATCATAAGATCTCACATAATATTAATAAGCATCAAACTTTTGAAAAGAAGTGTAGTCATACTAATAAAATGTCAATTGTTCTTATTACAAATCTACTTTGAATTGTTAAAAATAACATATTTATATAAAACTAAAGAAACATAAAGTAATATAAAATGATGCATTTAATTTTACATATTTATGTACTAAATATTGTCAAGTAAACAAACAGAGAGTTTTAAATTAGGACCATAATAGACATGAAGTACTAATGAGACTAAATATTGCCTATATGTATATGGCTAGTGAATAGACCATTTGGAATTTTTTTTTAATAATAAAAAGACTTGTTAAAAAAACATCTAAATTATCTTTTAAAAGAAGTTTCTATAACTACATTGCTTGTCCAAGCATTGACTATAATGTATGTTTAGTTAAATATCTTATAATTGTCTCAAAGATATATTATAAATATAATTGGCTCAAATGCAAAGTTCTGTGTGTCAATACTTGTACAACAGAATTATAAAAATTCAAATATCACAAAAAAACTTGGATTGGTTTTTTAATAAAAAAAAATAGACAGTTCTTTAGAGAATAAGACCAAATCAAAACAATCATTCTCAAGTGTCTCTCACTTTCGATTCACACCAATATAACATTACCAAACACAGAATAAAAAATAAAAATAAAAAACTAAAAAACCTAAAAACCGAATCTTTCAACACTAATGTCACAACACAACAGATTCATTAACATTTCCTAATCATATTTGGTGCATGTGAGTTGAACATTGTCGCGACAAAAGAATGAAACTTTGTATACAAATACTCGTGTTTTCTTTCATGAAACAAAAGCACACTTGAAATTCATCCATGGAAGCTGAGAAGAGCAAAGAATGGGAGCCAGTTTAGCAAAGGAAACTGGGAGCAGCGGCGATGCACCATCTCTCCTCCACTGGGTAGCCAGACAGAGCCTATCTGGACTGGGCTCCCCCCAGAAAAACGTGTGGCTCGAAGCATTTGCTTCGCTGCGGTCTTGAAGGAGCTGCATGCAATGTCTCGCAGCCAAGCCTTTTTGTCCGTTCTCATCACTCTAGTCGGCTCTCTATCACCATTCCAACCACGTTGCTTAATTCTGGTCAGTTCAGTTCTGTGATTGTGAAGCTGTGGAGCCAGCGCGCTAGCGGGAGAGAAAGAGAGATATACGGCTATGGCGTCTGCAACGATGGCCGCCCAAGCTGTGACAGTAGCTGGATTGGGCTCTTCTATGCTGCGCGAAGGAGATGTTCAAAGACTACGAGGTGGGATTTTTCATACAGAATCGACATCTTGTGTTACAGTTGCCACGTTGAGAACGGAGAGATGTGAGGTTTAGGAGTGGAATTCGAGGGTGAGTTGGTACCCATAAGCGGTGTTTTCTCATTCGGGGTTGCTCACAGTTGCAGCGCGATTTGGCCCTGTCGTGTGACCGTGAGCAGTTGTGGGTGCCGTGGTAAGCTGAGTCGGCATCGGTGATAGCAAGAGTTGAAGCGTTTTGCTTTGTGTGTGTGTGTGTGTGTGTATTACCAGGTCATGTGAAGCTTGCGAGGCGTTTGTCTAGTCAATTGTATTCACCGGTCAGAGCTGCCAAGCTTCCACCTGGAGTAAGACTCTTATCCCTGTCTCTTTTGATGTCTCTTCTCAGCTGCGATTCTTTACCATACGAATAGGATTAGTGATGTAGTAATAATTGCGTGGAGGGAGTACATTATGTGATAACCAGGTTTTATGTGTTGCTGCATGCCGTTCATTCTTTGATTCATTGTGGGTCGCAGTAGCAATTACTTGTAGCTTATTTCCCCTCCTGTGAACAAGGGATTTTAGAAGTTCTGTCTAACTGATGGTCATAGTTTGTAGACTCGTTGTCTGCTGTGGTATTGGGTTTTTCATTTATCGTTCATTAAGGTGAACCCCTGTGAATTTTAGGTTGGCCAGCCTAGAGAGGAGCCGAAATTGCCCGTACCACTTTGGGGGTTTACAAGGAATGCTGAAGTTTGGAACTCGCGTGCATCAATGATTGGAATTGTCGGAATCATCATAGTTGAAGCTGTAAGTTCTTACAACCGGTACTTATTTTTCATGTGAGATATTTCTGAAACAATGATGGACATATGCTAACTGAGATGTGTAGTTCTTCCTGGACACTTTATATCGTAGTATGTATGATGCCAATGCGGGAAGCCGATAGAATGATGCATTTTTTTAAATTATTGAGAAAGTCGAGAGTGCTACGCTCTGGGGTTCCATATTTCAAAAGTAACCTAGAACTTGACTCGCATTGCTTAGCTGTTAAAACTTCCTGATTTTTCTTCTGTCTGCAGACTGGCCTTAAGCTAACTCGTGCTTTGAACTATCATCTGTGAACAGATCATTAACCAAGGCATCCTTCAAGCGATTGGCGTTGATGTTGGAAAGGGACTCGACTTGCCATTGTGAGGAGGAAGTGCATTATGAGCTTGTGCATGTCAAAAGCCCCAATAGTTTGTATTTCTGTGATATCGTAAAACATTATTTTAGTCGAACATCTCATAATTTTGATACAGCACTGTGCTTCAGCTGCATGCACTGGTATTTCACCAGTGTGCAAGCCACTGAGTACCCTCATGATAAGATGTTGGAAATATTGAAAATGTTGAAACACATTCTAAGATACGTCAAGATATTTTTGTATTCACCTAGCTTCTTTGGCAACGAATTAATTACTGTTTTACCCATGTGTTTGTGTTAGTATTCCTATTGTGAACCTCTGCAAACCAAAGCGCTTAATATGTTCACAACGCCGATCCAACATGCAAAAATTTATGATGGTAAAGAACCTGCACGAGATCAATTATCCGTTCCGCCCGTCAAAACTGTGAAGCAGAAAACGCCTTATATTATACAAAGATGTACATCTTGGCAGTTAAGCATCATCCGCTCAATGTCTTCTTGGTGAACTATCATGTTCACAACATTAAAATACAAATTGACTGCAATAAGGACATAACATCTAATCACGAAGATTATATCCGAGTAAAAATACGATTTCGTGAATACACTACTAACACAAAATATGTATTCGTGCATTTCCAGCACACAAATGACTCCGCCACTGTGGCTAAACGTAGCTAGTGGTGTTGCATATGAACATGGAAGCCCACCCCTCCGACAAATAATAGAACCAAAGCCTGCACACACCGATAATGTTCAAACGGTTGGTTGCTTTAACATGAAACAATTCAGTTTTAAAAAGGTAATCAACATGACAAGATGCAAATTCATCACCAATTCAGCATGTCACTTTCTTTGATAACACAACGAGTTATAAAGATGGCTAATCCACTGCGAAGGATGTGACAAAACTCACAGCTATGGTGCAAGCCAACAGCCCAGTGCGTTCACGAGCGTCATGTCTCACAAACAGGAAAATGACAGCTCCAATATACCAAGGAAACACGGCAATAAAGAACCCCATTATGAATCTGTTTTGAAAGACACACCAATGAGCATGAATGTTTGTGTCAGCTTAATGTAACGTAGCCATTACCGAGCGTATAAGCCAGAACGATATAGGATTCAGAGTAAATAACCAATTGTACGAATGCGTCTCTCCAAATAAATAAATAAATAAACAAACAAACAAAATTCAAAGAAGCTGTGATTTTTGTCCTTTGGAGGCGTACGAGTCGCAGGATTTCCAACACGGTTTATTTGCACTTCCAGTCAAGTGCAAATGGCATGGTCCTCCGAGGAACCATAGTGCTGTATCAGGAAATAGGAGCAATCTGATAATGATGCTAGAGAGTTGGAATGACTTATCACAACTGCGTAAAATTTTGGGGTTGAAGCACACATATGTCGGTGTACTCCATCCTAAGTTAGAAGTAAAAGAAAAAACATTGTAAAAGGTCTTCGGGAGAAGAGTAGTATAACTTACAGGAACCAGCCGAAACCAAGTCCGCAAAATGGAAGTGCCCGTTGGTGGCATATGACCTCATGGCACTCGTAATAACAGGTCTGAACGGGTTGTGGGACAGGATACTGAGCGGGTTGATAGCATCCAGAACCTTGACCACTTCCTGGATAGTTTTCCAGAACTGGATATCCTGCAGTGCAAAATAGATGTCCATTGAAGAATGAACACAATGAACAGGAACACTAATATGATGAGGAAATAAATGCCCGACATATTATAAAAAACTGTATCAAGAGTAAGAAAGAAGCAATCAACTCATGCATTACAATACTTCCCATCGCTTTAGCGTTGCAGCGATCACTTCATCGCTCACTGTGCATGTTATACGGTGATGCAGATGTAAGATAGGTATTGTATAAATCAGGAACTCTAGCACTAAAGAGTGTTCTAACACTTGCAATGAAATTTTATCCAGTTCTTTTCACTGAATTTTTTCAAGAGGTAAATAGCCACTACTTAGGTTGACCAAAAGAATGTAACAATTGTTGCCTAATTTAATTCCAAAGTTACTAAAAGACATGCACCGCCATTCACGCACTGCAAAACGCAAGAGCAGAAAAAATGGCACGTCTTTGAAAAAATAGTCTTCCCGCTAGAACTGGGCAACGATTACCCCCCCCCCCCCCCCCCAATAAGACTGGCGTGAATCTAAAACTCAGTGACATCGACGCATGCGTTCAAATATTTCCCTTGATGAACATACTAATCCCGTTTATTTATTGAAACTCTTTCACTCAATCCGAGAATGACCCAAATTTCACCTTCAAACTTTTACGCATCACAGAGTGCTACCCTTGCCAAGAACTAATGGTTTCGAACCTCTCGATTGCTTCAACGTTTAGATTCATTCCTTGACAACGAAACCTAGAACGGAAGCAACAGATCGGTGCAAGAGAAAGGTAGGAAGAGAACCACGTACCAGGAACTACAGGGTACTGCACATGGCCACCACTGCCAAAAGTACCAGGAAGCAGAGGAGCACTCGACTGCGGAAAACTTTGCGACCCATCAAAAGTACCGTAAGTTGCTCCCTTCTCGAATCCCATCGTTGAGACTGAAACTCAACTAAAACCCTGCATTCGCAATTCAACAGATGCACCTTAAATTCCTTCCCTTACCCTCTAAATCATCTCCCCAACACCCAATGTTCACGTACACCCTACACTTGTGCCGTTAACTCGGATCCTGACACCAACCCGAGATCCTCTGCAAACAAATTCTAACCTTCCGGAGGACCGCAGCAACTTCAAACGCAGCGAAAACCTGCAAATATGAATTGGACCCAGTTCAGGACTCCAATGTGTGATGAAATGGAAACGGAATTCCTCAACGAAATCCCCATCAATCAATCAACCAACCAACCAACCAAACCCAGTTACTAAAAAATAGCGGTCCGTGAGGGTTCGAAGAAGAAACAGACAACGAATCAATCGAGATACTTGACTTGGAGACAGAGCATTCCAGCTGGTCTACTCCTCAGCGTATTAGAGCAGCAATTTTAGCAGGGGCCCGCCGAGATCCCCGACTTTTTAAAAATTCGTTACCTAATTTTAAAAGCCCCTGGCCTCGTTGGTTGCTCCCCCAGGTGGGTGGGGGTGTGACGTGGCATGCTGCTTTCTTCTTGCCATGAAATTGTCTGTTGTATGAAATATCGTTTGTGCGTATAATATATATATATATATATATATATTTTAATGATTTTCATTTTTGGTTTTCTTTTTGGTTTTAAAATCTCTACCGCATTGTGTGTGCGCCTCTTCTTGTTAATGATGGTTAAAATAATAAAATCATGGCTATTGATGATACAAACATTAGATAATAAAAGAACATTTTATTGGAATGTAGTAGTGAAAAGTTAATGTGTATCAAAGCTAGTAACAAGAAGATACTAATTTCTTTTTGTGGATGTTCAATATTTCAAGGATTGTAAATATCTATGAATTTATTGAAAATAAGTAAGTAGATAATATACTAATATTTGTGTGATTCAAAAAAATATATAATGAATAAATTTTCAAATGATATATATAATGATATGTTAATATAAGTCACTAATAGAAGTAAAAGAAGTTGCCAAATTATGTTTTAAAATTATGATTCAAATTTAAGTTTCTTTCAAATATTTATAAATTGGTAAAGTGAACATGCTTACATAGTAATATATTTTGACCTTATTAGCAATTTTAATACCTACAACAAGGTCTTTCAACTAAGAACAATCTTGATTATTAAAGTCAAGTCCTATAGTAACTAAACTTGGTAAATGGTGGTATTAAAACATTGCTAAATATGACTATTAAAAAATTACATCATATTTATTTTATGACTATATATATATATATATATATATTAGATAAAATATATGTTTTAAAAAATAATTGATATTATTCAAATTTTAAAGATTTTTTAATATATTGAATAATAAAAAATAAAACTAAAAATATGACCAATAATTGTTTTGTACCTATGTAACATTAAGACTACATAATGACTATTAAATTCAAATATTAGCAATAACAAAAAATTCTAAAAATATTTTAATAAAATATTGAATTTATGTTCAATATTTTAAAAATATTGTATCTAAATCACTCTTTATATAAATAAATATATATTTATTAAAATTATTTATATACAATTATTTTTTATAATATATATAATATATATTTTTTAAAATTAAATTATATGTTAAATTAAGGAGAATGACAAAGCAATCCAATTTTTTAATAGACCACCCACTCTATCTTAACCATCATTGCATTCTTGTAGTCTCTATCTTTATTTTCAATGGTTTCTCATTTCCAATTTTTGCTAAAGATGGAGGTGGGGGCGATGGTTGGAAATAAGAGAACGGCTAGGAATAGAGACAAGATTAAAAGGGTATAATGATGGTACCAAATTTTTACTAAATTGTTTCCCACATTTTCATTGTCTAGTTTAACCTCCTTGATTCTGTCTTCTATTCCCCATCTCTACCTCCATCTTCTATTTTCACTTGTTTGTGTGATTATGCCTTCCTAAAAGAGATATAAAAAGTGATAAGCAGGCTGCTAGTATCCCCTCTACGTACTTGATACAAGAATTGAATTTCTTCTAGATTCTAAAATTTTTAGTTGCTTCAATTGATACTCAAAAAAGACAAGCATTCAGGCAACTTTTGCAACAAGGTAGCTTCTTCTAGTTTGAAATACCAATAGGTCTTGTAGATTGGCCCTCCACTAACACACTTGGATGAACAAATAGCTGAGGTCTCATAATATAAGAGACTTTTTTCCACATCACGAAAGAGCCATAAGATTCCTCGGATTAAAAGTTACATGCTTACTATAAGTACTACTTTGTGTTGAAATCGGACTATATACATGCTCTTGCCATTGTGTCAAATGACGATTTCATTTCCACATTAGATTTATATATGATGGTTACTTGATATAGTAGATTATTTTTTATGCTTATAATGCCATGATTTCTTCCTAATTGACTCAATTGCTATTCTTTGATGATGCATAGGTGTTAAAGACAAGAATTTGATGAAAGCAAATAAACAAGTGAGACTCTCTCAAAGAAATAGAAATAGAGAAGTATATATATTAAAAAGAAAAGTGGAATGGCTATTGCCAAAAGATAAGGAAACTAGAGACTCTTGAATCTAGACTAAAAGCAAGAAAAGAATTTACAAGAGTAAAGAAGGCTTCACTCTTGCTTCTATATATACTATCAACCTACGATCTATGTAGCAACATTCTATAGGACCTCCAAAAACATGTTGACTTTGCATGACACATATCTTGACTTGCAAGGTAAGTTTTCTATATGGGCGCTACATAATTACCTTGTTCTACAAGCTATCAATACATGTAGCATATGAATAGCTTGTTGACCAAGTTTCTAACCTATCAATCAACTACAAATATATGTAAAGTCAAAACAACATATGTGAAGTTTTTATGAATATTATGTTGTTTTGACTTTACATTATGATATATTAGATTATTAGAAGCTATTATAAAATTAATTATTAGAAGCTATTATGAAATTAATTTATTTTTATCTAATCCTATATATTCATATTACGTAAATAATAATTACAATAGATATAAATCTATGACATTATCCCTCCTTTAAAGGATGAGTCTCACAAGGAGCAATAATCATATGTTGAGGAAGTCTAAAATATGGCAAATTGTATTTGCCATATACTGTCATCTTTGTTTCCTTTGAAGGTAGTTGACAGGACCTTTCAGCCATTAATAGTGTCCTATTTTAGGTCAAAAAGACCACCCTATGATTTCATCATTGTTGAAACGTTTGTAACTTCCTTCAAACAAAATATTTGTAATACCATTAAGAGTCGTACCTACCTCCAATAAAATCACTAAACATCAAGACTCTTTTCCTATGTTGTGATATGAAATGCGTTGTATCTTGCCATTTATTCAAGGAAGAATATGTTGTTCTTAATGGTCTTCATCCCTAATACATTATCTTGAAGGCTATATTAATTGCAATGTCTTGTCCAATAAGTCAACAAATGATTGTTCTTGAGTTGAATTCGCCAGCTATTGATTTTCTATCTTCTTAATGCCACAATCATACAAAAATTACAAACAATAATAGAAGATAGAATGTAATCTTTTCTGAATTGAGTTTCTTTTATAGCAAAGATTTGCTATCCTTCATCTTCGTTTTGATGGATGTTGTTGATGAAAAGCTTCCACTATCTTTGCTTCATTTTTAAGATTCTTTGTTGGCTTCTATATGCATTCATTAATATCATATCTACTCTAATAGACAAGATATTCCAACTTATTTTGGTACCACTTTAAGTCTAGAACTTCTTCCTCTTCAAACTGTTTATTTGTAATAGGGTATAGATAAGATAATTATATAGATAATTAGAATTATGAAAGTTTTTAGAATTGAGGTTAGGTTAGTGGATTAGGTAGGATCCATCGTAGAACATTCTAAAAAGGATTTAGGGCAGTTATTTAAGTAGGACCTACTACAGAACCTTCTAAAAAAAAAACTTAAGGTGATTATTTAGGTGGGACTTATCAAAGAATCTTCTAGAAAAGAAATTTAGGGTTGTTATTTAGATAGGACCTACTACGTAAGAACATTCTAGAAAGTCCACGGTAGTATGACAAGGTATAAATAGGACTAACTAAGATCTTTTTGGACATCTAGTCAAGTATGGCTTCAAACTCTTTCTCTTAATAAAGTTTAATTTTGCATCCTTTTGTTCAGTTTTTTTCTGTTTTTGTTTGGATAGTTTGTCTTTCATGTCTAATTTTGTTTAATTCCATTCAATTCTATTTTGGTCTATTTTGTTTGATTTTGTGTTGAAGTTTTATATTGTTGTGGAATAAAAGGATCTTAAATTTTTGAGATAGTCTAATCCTATTTCATTATTATTATCTACTTCTATAAGAGGAGGTGGGACTTATCTTCTTTTTGATATATTTATGATCTCATATGGTTTAAGAAGAAAAATGTAAAATACAAGGTGGATTTTCATTGACTATGGTAGATGTAATCGATAAGCAATTGGATTGATTTGTCTACAAATAAAAAAATGTCAAAGCTTACGGTAGTCCAATTTGTTATAAGAACAAGTAGTCTAGACATCATGACAAAGAAACCATACTATGTCACCTACATTAAATTATGGTTGTTGCTTTTGATATGCATCCGGGTTGATCTTTTATTGTTCTTGAGCTTCCTTTAATTGCACCTTTATTATTTTATGTAGCTTTGACAAACGATTTGCCAAATCATTGGCCACAAAATTATTGACTTTTGAAAAGTCAAAAGTATCAAGTTGTAGATGGTAACCATAATTGGCAAAGAAAGGTGTTTGTTGCATAAAAAAATGTATTATATTATTATAAGCAAATTTTGCCAATGGTAAGAAGATTCTCCAATGGTCTTATTAATAATTGATGATATGTCTTAAGTATTTCTCTAGAACTTAGTTTATGTACTTTGTTTGTCTATTAATTTGAGGATGAAAGATCAAAGAAAGCTTTATGTCTATATTTAAAAACTTAAAAAAGATTCTCTATAATCTTAATACAAATTGAGTCCCTCTATTCAATATAATATCTTTTGATAATCCATGACATTGATAAATATTGTCAAGGAAAAGCTTGGCAGTTTTTTCACATGTGATAGATTTTGTGCATAGTAAAAAATATGCCATTTTGATAAAATGATCTACGATCACAAATATAAGATCACACAAACTTGAGACTAGAAGATCTATAATAAAATCTATAGAAATAAAAGACCATAGTTGTTTTAGAATAGGTAATGGCTAAAAAAGTCCAAAAAGTTAATGACAAGGGATTTTTGACATTGAATAAATGTCGCATGATTAAACAAAGTCTTTTATAGCTTTCTACATTTGTGGCCATCAATAATCTCTAGAT